TAACGTTGTATATCTCCCCGAATTCCCTCCCAATAAACTACTGAAGAGACTCTCTTGTATGTTCTGAAGAAACTCGAGTGGCCTCCACTAGGACTCTGATGGAACTTGGCCAGTAATATGGATACAAATCTGGACCCCTTTGGAATAACCAGCCTGTCCTTATAGAATAGGCAGCCCCTGCGGAGATGGTAGTTGGGTCGACTAGAAGAGTCAAGGAGAAGGTCTTGAATGATTTCCTTAGTTTAGGATCTGTTTGTGCCTCCGAAGCCATGTCCTCAAACTCTAAAAACTGCACCGCAGACAAGGCTGAAAAGTTAGCCAATTCAGTCCTGTCTTCCCTTCTTGAAAGAGCGTCTGCTACTCGGTTGGAAGCTCCTGGGTAGTACTGAATTTCAAAGGAAAAACCCATCAGCTTGGAAATCCATTTGTGTTGCTCTGGGGTTTTTTATCTTTGGTCCGTTAAAAACTGGAGGCTGCGCTGATCCGTCTTAATTATGAATTTTCTGCCAAGCAAGTAGTGACTCCATTTCTTGACAGCAAACACAATGGCCATCAATTCCCACTCATAAACCGATTTCAGCTTGGCTGTCAAAGAGAATGCCTTGCTGAGGAAAGCTATAGGTCGAGCCTGCTGCACCAAAATTGCCCCGAGGCCTCTTCCAGATGCGTCTGTTTGAATTTCAAAGGGAAGAGTGAAATCTGGAACTGCCAGAACTGGGACAGTAGTCATGGCTTCCTTGAGCCGATCAAAAGCCGATTGTGCCGAATTATTCCAAGTGAAGGAATCCTTTTTTAGTAGTTGAGTCAGGGGCTGTGCGATTGAACCATAACCCTTTACGAATCTCCGGTAATACCCTATCAGCCCAAGAAAACCTCTCAAGCCCTTTACATTCATAAGTGGCGGCCAAGACACCATGGCCTCAATTTTTTTCGGATCTGCATCTACTCCCTTGTCTGAAACCAGATGACCCAAATACTCCAGTTTAGATTGGCCAAACGAGCATTTTTTTTTGTTGACAACCAGCTTGTGTTCCTGCAAAATCTGAAAAGTTAGTTGTAAATGCTGGATGTGTGTTGATATGCAGGGGCTGTACACAAGGATGTCATCAAAGAAGACTAGGATGAATTTACGAAGGACAGGTCTTAAAATCGAGTTCATTAAGGCCTGGAATGTGGAGGGCGCATTAGTGAGTCCGAAAGGCATCACAAGGAACTCATAATGCCCCTCATGTGTGCGAAAGGCTGTTTTGGGAACATCAACCTCTCGCACCCTAATTTGATGGTATCCGGACTTGAGATCCAGTTTTGTGAAAATCGTTGCCCTAGCCAATTCGTCAAGTAACTCTTCAATGGTCGGTATCGGGAATTTGTCGGGTATTGTAATGTCGTTTAATGCCCGATAATCAACACAAAATTGCCAACTCCCATCCTTCTTTTTGACTAATAGGACAGGGCTAGTGTACGGGCTAACACTAGGCTGTATAATCTCGGCAGTCAACATTTCCTCTATCAGCCTCTCGATTTCATTCTTCTGAAAGTATGGGTATTTGTAGGGCCGGATATTGGGTGGTTTGGACCGTGGTTGGAGTTCTATGGCATGGTCATGGGTCTTATGGGGTGGTAATTTAGGGTCATGGTCAAACAATTGGGGATAACTATTTATCAGTTCCAGAATTCCAGGGTTAGTTTCCTCCTGCATTGGCTTTTCCTTAAGCCCTATGGATCCAAACTCCATTATGTAGCCAGTTCCCGCAGCATGCACAGACCTGACCACGGTTTTTAGAGAGACCTCAGTCTTTACCAGAAGAGGATCCCCTCTNATCAACCTCTCGCACCCTAATTTGATGGTATCCGGACTTGAGATCCAGTTTTGTGAAAATCGTTGCCCCAGCCAATTCGTCAAGTAACTCTTCAATGGTCGGTATCGGGAATTTGTCAGGTATTGTAATGTCGTTTAATGCCCGATAATCAACACAAAATCGCCAACTCCTATCCTTCTTTTTGACTCATAGGACAGGGCTAGCGTACGGGCTAACACTAGGCTGTATAATCCCGACAGTCAACATTTCCTCTATCAGCCTCTCGATTTCATTCTTCTGAAAGTACGGGTATTTGTAGGGCCGGATGTTGGGTGGTTTGGACCCTGGTTGGAGTTCTATGGCATGGTCATGGGTCTTATGGGGTGGTAATTTAGGGTCATGGTCAAACAATTGGGGATAACTATTTATCACTTCCAGAATTCCAGGGTTAGTTTCCTCCTGCATTGGCTCTTCCTTAAGCCCTATGGATCCAAACTCCATTATGTAGCCAGTTCCCGCAGCATGCACAGACCTGACCACGGTTTTTAGAGAGACCTCAGTCTTTACCAGAAGAGGATCCCCTCTTAGTTTTACCCTCTTGCCATTCTAGTCAAATTCCATTGTTAATCTCTTCCAATTGGCACTCACATCCCCTAAACTACTCAACCATGTAACTCCCAATACAACGTCTGCACCTTTTAATTCAAACGGGAAAAACTCCCGCTGGATCTCAATCCCTTGAAGTTTCAACCCCACTTCCTTGCAAACCCCTTCTCCCCGAATGGTACACCCGTCACCTACCATGACTCCAAAGGGTCTCCCCTTATCCACCTTCAGCCCTAGCTTTTGGACAACTTCATGGGACACGAAATTGTGGGAAGCCCCACTATCCACCAACACCACCACACTCTCACTCCCAATCTCCCCCTTTAACTTCAAGGTTTTCCCCGACGAGATACCCACAATAGAGTTCATCGAAAGAGCAAGAGATTTACCTTCACGGATGGCATCCTCGTCCGTTTCTGTCTCAACTTCTGGTGGGTTTGATTCTTCGTCATCCAGAAGTAACAAAACCTGCAGAGATCGGTTCTTACACTTGTGGTTTGGCCCAAATTTCTCATTGCAGCGGTAACAGAGCCCACGCTCTCGCTTGAACTGGATTTCGGCATCGGAGAGTCGTCGGAAGTTTTCATTCCGGTTGATGGACCCCACAATCTCAGTCGCCCTCTCTCGTCGCTCAGGTGTCTTGCTGGTGTTTGACGAAAACGCAAGGGGATCTGGTGGTTTTGAGTTGGAGTTCCACCAGTTAGGGCGTGTGGTTTCCGGTTGAATAAGCCTCTCCACGACCCATCTGATTTTTAAACGACCTGGGCCTTTGTTTTTCTAGCACCCAATTTCTTTCCTCAATCCTGTGGGCTTGATCCATTAGCCCAAAACAATGAATTTGGCTGAGACAGACGCAACTCAGCTTTCATTTCTTCCTTTAACCCATTTGCAAATATTCCTTTTAGCAGATCCTCACCCAGATCCTTCAATGGTACGGCGTTGGCTTCAAACTGTTCCCTGTATTCTGTGACCGTCCCATCTTGCTTCAAGGCTACTAAAGCCTCATATGCAGATCCCTTAAATGAAGGCCTAAAACGATCAATCAATGCTGTTTTGAACGCGTCCCACGACTGGAATGGTGCTTTGGATTCGACCTATTGATACCAGCTCAGAGCTCTTCCCTCCATGCTAACTGCTGTTGCTTCCACCATTTCTGTCTCCTAATAACGGTTGATGGTGAAGTAACGGTCTGCTCTGAAGGACCATCCGAACGGATCTTTGCCATTAAAGATTGGCAACTCCAGCTTGCGGGTATTCTTTTTATCCTCTTTCCCACTGTCGTCCCGATCTGGTTCCTTGTCTCCACTGGAATTCAGCTTCTCTGCCGATGAAGGGGATTTCTCTCTTTCTTGGTCTCTTCTTCCTTCTCTTTCTTCTCTCATGCGCATTAATTCCCTCATTTCTGTCAAGTATTCCTTCACACTGCCCATATCAATTTTCAAGGTTCCAATGTCTTCCTTTACCGTATTCATCTCCTTTTCTACGTTATCCATCCTATTTTCCATCTTGGACTTGACCATTCCCCAACCTCGCTTTGATACCAATGATACAGTCACCTGCAAACAAACTAAATCCACAACCAAGCAACAATAATTCTCACACAAATCATCCACACACTGTCAATCCACAACCAGAATAGAATAACCCCAGCACAATTGGTATTAATCTGATAATTGGAATGAAATAGACAGGAAATGGAATGACTGTAAGGTAACCATAAACCCTGGCGTTTTGATGAGCTAGGAACCTCTACACAAAATAGTTACGGTTTTTCTACTATGACGACGATGCTGAGAGGGAGCTTATATACAATTCCCCTTTCCACAATTACCCTCACTCACACAATTCATATTCTCCAACAGACTCTTACCCATGACACCTGTGCTTTGTGGACCCTACTCCCCTAACAACCTTCCTAATGTCTATTACGCCCCTTAAGGGTGTAGACTTTATGTACTGCTGGTTTATCAATAACTAACTCCCACTTACACACCGGCTAATTGCCCTTAAAATTCCTTTTGTAAATTTAAGTGGGATGAGTAGTAGGGGTCGTATCAGAATAGAAACTTAGAATAGGCAATTTGAAGAATCTGGTCTTCCCTTGGATTTGTTAAAAAGGCATTAGGATAACAAGCTGAAGAGTTCATAGAAAGAATCTACATCTGGGTCACAAGAATGATTGGGTCACAAAGGAATTCAAACTTATTTTTCGAGATAAAATTTTTGTTTTAGGAAAATTGAGGACCTTAAATTTCTCAAAAGATACGGTCTAATTATACTCTTGAATATTCCTGGACTGGTTTCAAAATAAAAACAACTATAAATTTATAGATAAATATGCGAGGAGTAAGTTTGTAACATTGTCTTGCAATTAGGATTTTGAGTCCACTAGATGGTAAGATGGACAAAAATATACATATAACTCTAATGACCTTGTTTTGACAAGTTTAGGACGATATTTACAGTCTTTTCTTCGTACTTGTTTTTATGAGTAATGTTATTTGATCATTATACAAAATTTCTTTAATTTAGTAATTAGTGTCATGACTATATTAATTTGAACTTTATGCTCTTTGGGCTTTTGTTCATTGGAAGGTGTCTCCAAAAGCATGTGGTCATACACGTGGCAGGAAAGTGGTGCCTAGAGATGAAGCAGTGATGCATATAAAAGCGGCAGTTGATGCTCGGAAAGAAAGTGGCTCTGACATTGTTATTGTGGCGCGGACTGATTCTCGTCAAGCAGTGTCTTTAGAGGAAGCACTCTGGAGGTCAAGGGCTTTTGCTGATGCTGGGGCAGATGTTCTTTTCATTGATGCACTAGCTTCTAAAGAAGAGATGAAGGCATTCTGTGAAATCTCTCCTTTAGTTCCAAAAATGGTATGATATGTTTCTCTTGATATAACATCGGTGAAATCTGATAGTGTTTAGATGATGTTGTTTGCACTGTAGAAGAACTGAATCTTTTGTAATGTAATATAGCGTATAAAATTTTTGTTAGGTCTTACAACAATTATTATCTGAGACAAGGGCTAACAATTTCTTCCTTTTAATTGTCATTTCCGAAGTTGTAGAGTTCCCAACATATTACCTGACAAATATCTATTGCTTGTTTTGGTGAAAGCAGTGCATATTTTCCCCTGTACTTTATGTCTCTGCCCACAGTTGATAATAATATACTGTAATTGCCCGAAAGTGTCAATATTTTTTGGTCTGTTCTAGGTTGCATTTATTGTGATTAGTAAATGTAATTTAAAGCCTCAGAATTTTGAGAAGTTGGAACTGCTATTATTTTCTAGATGATAGTATAAGCAAGTTTTTCTCATTTTGGATGATTTAGTCATAAGTTAGCACTGACATGATGTCATGTATTCCCAATATGTTTTAGTCTTTCCTTCGCCAAAAGTTTTGTCTTTCATCTGCTTAGCTTGCATTGTCCCATATATAATATTGGCACATGTTAGCGTTTCATGCCAAAGCAAAAATATATCAGTGTATTCAAATTCAGTTTTAGTTTCTGATAATTCTCTTTTGTTCCTGCATAGGCCAATATGCTTGAAGGTGGAGGAAAAACACCGATTCTTAACCCTCTCGAACTTGAGGAGGTTGGATTTAAACTTGTGGTTTATCCACTTTCCTTGATAGGAGTATCTATTCGAGCAATGCAGGTCAGATTTCTACACTGTTACTGTGCATAAAACATTAACAAATTATTGAGGATGCGTCTTGTTTAATTGCAAAAGGGATATAGGAAGCCTGAGATTGTGGTTATTTGTTGAGGATGATCATTTAGTCAAAATTCTTTCATCATGCACAAAACTGAAAAGAATGACTCTTGACTTCTTTCCTAGTTAGTGAGATTGTATTTTGACAACTCGATTCTAGGTTGTATACATTTAATATACAATTGTTTCTTTCTTGGCTTGTGTTTGATGATTATTTTGTGTTGTATGGCAGAATCTGTTTTTGTTAACAGATTATTCATTCTATGGTTGTATTATTTTGACTTGAATCCATTGCCATGTCCAGCCGATATTAGTTGATGGGTCATTAGGCCAATCCTGAAAGCCTGTAGTTTTAGATCTTCCAGCTATAATTTACCGGGCATGCTTTGTATCATTTATCACTTGATTATTGCCTTGATATTTCCATCATCTATGAATGGAAAATTATATATATGCACGAAGCATGTAATTTTTGGCTAGCTAAACTGGTTGAGACCTGAAGATCAAAGAATTATGTGATTAGTAGCTGAGATTTACGTTATATAAGAAGTCTTATTGTAATTCTAAGATGCTATAATCTTTCATTGGAATCTGCTGCAAGGAATTGATAATAGTAAAATGATATTTTCCTCATCCATGACAAGTATTTGGATCCTATAGCTTGGTGCTAAGTCAAATTTTACAACTCAATTCAGGATGCACTAGCTGCAATTAAAGGAGGTCGTATTCCTCCTCCAGGAAGTATGCCATCTTTTGAGGAACTGAAAGAACTCTTAGGTTTCAATGCTTATTATGAAGAAGAGAAGCGGTATGCCACTTCTCGTCTTGCAGCTTCTGAGAAAGGTGGGTGCAATCTGGTCCTTTTAAATCTCAATTAGCAGCTTTTTCCTGTCAATTGTCAATGTTACCATGGTAATCTAATCTCTCTAGTTGTCTGATATGGATCTTAACCTTCTAAGTTTGGATGAGTTTTTTGTGAACATAACTGAGTTCTGAGCCATTTTATCCATTCTGAACCATGTTGTCTATCTTTTAAATTTTTATTGATTATTAGTTCTTGGGATTTCATTCCTATTCTGCCTTCTTTATTACACAAATATAGTTCTAACGATTTTTTGAGCTTCCCTGTTTGCCACAAGTAAAATTGACAAAAGACTGAGCCATTGTTAAACTTGTAATTATATATATGTTATGTCAGTGAGCAGTTACTCATACAATAGACAACCAAGGGTTCAAGATGATACAACAAGGAGTGGCCAAAGTCTCTCAGGTCCTGTAGTCGAAGTTATAACTCCTGAAGTAATGAATAACTATGGTGCAGATGGTCCAAGGAGCCCTTTTAATGGGATCTGGTCTCGGACACTGAGAATCAAGATAACTGGTGGAGATGGATTTGAGAGACTCGATGTTAGAATTCCTGTAAGTTATCTCTCTGCTATGAACACATATAATCATAATAATGTGCTCTTATTTTTACCTTCAATTTATCATAAAATTGATGCATATTTCTTTTAAAGAAATGGACGAATGTCCACTGCATTTCTTATCTGAATCAAATCTGATCATCCTAGCCAGCACCATACTTCAGAATTAACCAAGAGTTTGTATTACATGTAAGATGGTTTGCTTACTTGTCTGATCATTTATCTGAGTTCAAAATCTTCGTGAAATATCATTACCTCAAACTTAGCTATGTTGGTAGGGGCAAAACATTTTATGATGTGACAGTCCTGAAAAATAGTTATCCTTTTGAAATTAAATGTTTGGTTGTTATAATTTTCTTATTACCCAAAAAGCAAAAATCTGCAGTTCAGAATTGCACTTGTTCAGTATTAAATTTTCATGTGTTGTGCTAGTCGTCTGCATGCTCTGCCTTTGTTTGTCTTTGAAAGTATGCTCGAATTTACATCCCTTCATAAGCCTTGCTGCTTACAGCCTTACAGTGTGGCCATGTTCCCAGCTTATTTTAAGACATTTATGCATGCTATGATCTTTCTTTCCGTACAACATAATTGATGGCACTAATTTTTCCATGATATCGCAAACAATTTTTTGATGGAAGAGTAACTATAGTGTTTTTGTTTCTGGTTATTAATTCCTTCACAGGCTGGGTTCTTGGAAGGAATCACAAAAATAGTTCCAGGTATAATATATCGAGCAAACTTATACATGATCTGTATCTTCTTTGGATTAGTTCTTGAGATAATAATCGAAATTATTTTTCTGTTATGGTACACAGCATTGGGGGGTGTAAACCTCAAAGAACTTTTGGACGATGCAGCTGATGAAGTTGGAGGAAAGTTGCTGTTAGATTTTAATGATACAATGGGTGACAGGATTCAGGTCTTTCTTGAATGAATTCAACACCAGTTGGCTTTTACAAGTCAACGGTAAGTTTTCTTTTCTATATTTAAAGCGAAAATCTATCTCAATTTACATGATTAAGCCCAAAGTTACATAACTGCTGCTACACATATATATCCTGGGAATCACTGCCTTAAACTCTGCTTCTCCCCATTTTTTAGCTGCACTGCTTGAACTATAATCACATGTTTGAGAGTTCAACTGTAAAACCAACCTGACTTCAGTGCAAAAATAAGAAAGAGAAAAGATCATTGTATGATATTGTAGTTAAAAGTTTTAGCTAAAAAAAAAGACGAGTGAATTGCAAATTGAATAATTGCTGATTTTGGACTCCTTAGGCTTAGGTTTGGCTTAATTAAAGTTTGTTTACTAGTGGGAGTTTGGATAGTTGAACTTATTTGCAGTGTTTGCTTTTGCTATCAATTTTTTGAAGTAACTTGAACACTACCGCAAAAAAGCACTAATTAATAGAAGCAAAACGATAGCTCTTAGTTTAGGGGACACAAAATGAGTCGTGCCGCTCACGAGAACGAGCTTAGTACTAGAACAAAGAGAAGACAATATAAATGCATGCTGTTTTGTTATAATGCCTGATTATTCATCTTCTGTTGATAAATTGTTTTTGATGTCTTAAATGCTAACCAGGTAATTGAAGAAGTGCAAATGCAAGGCTTCATGTGGAACTTTAATGGATGGATATATCAAAATGCTCGATCAACCCATATAGTTTACTCTATATGGGGGCGAATAAGATGTGCCTAACTTATAATAAGCAAAGAAGATTATGACTAGCTGTATTGCACATCAACAATCTTATGAAACCTTCTTTGTTTCTCCTTAGTCCAAGAAATTAAGCTTTATCTTGGGTTCATATATTGTGATAGTTTTTCATTCATTTTCCTACTTACGTTTATCTGAAATTATAAAAAGAAAAGAAAAAAAAAACTTGCATATAAGGTTTTTTAAATGACAAAGTCTTTACCCCATTTAACACCATAACGTATTCTATTCCTGAAACTTCATCTTCTATATTAGAAACTATGGTCTTGATTTATGAAAACATTAACGGGACTATGATAGAAGCTTTCAATTTAGGGGTGTGCAAATCCGGATATCCAATCCGAATATGGCATTTTCTGATCCGATCCGAATTTTCGGATCAGGCTATACCCTGATCCAAATCCGATCTGAATTATGCGGATATCCAGATTTACGGATATCTGATTATTCATATCAGATAATCGGATATCCGAATGTGATCTGAATTTAACAATTTTCTTTTTAAAATCAAATAATTCTAGAAATAAAATTGAAATTATAATTCCCTTACAATTACACGATAAAGGTATCTAAAAAAATTAACATGAAGCACAAAACATTTAACTTATGTTGTCTAAACACTGTCACAGTCTAAATGACTATGTTATCTTCAATTCTTCATTGCCAAATCCTACTCGTGTCACACATGGTTTCTTGTTACCAGATTGACCATTGTATCTGTACTCTCTGATTGACAATGACTGTGATTTTGAGCCACTAACACCAGCAGATTTGAACCAACATGCCATTAAACCGCGTAGCAGGAAGAACATGAAAATATGAAATTGTTGGGCGTAAGGCTCCACCTGATGTGTCAAATTATTAAAACAACTAGCTGAATTGACCAACTGCCTAAATTGCTATGCTTATCTTCATATCAGATGGCTTTGTCTCCCTTAACTACTCGTCATCATCCTCCTGTACAAAACAAAACAAAACAAATAAACCATTTCAATAAACAACTTTTAAGATTAACAACAAAATCAATATACTGAAAATGAAAATATGCTCAATAACATGTGACAGTTTTGATTCGAGGATTGCAAATTAAATGTGAATATGGTGCTTATTAGTTCACTAATACATGCATTATTCTCGTTAGAAAGCTAAAGATTTAGACAGAAATAAACTCTAAAAGAGTGTTATTATCACACCATTACTTAATTTAACTTAGCATAAAGTTAAACACTAAAAGAGATGTTGTTAACTTGTTCCTATCTCAGCAGTTAGCACTTCACCTTTCGGTGAAGCAAGCAGCAATGCATCTCAAACAAACCAAATTAAAACATTTTCAGTTTCTCATAATATCTTTTCCACTTTTCTATCACCAACCATGCTTCCTTCCACAATAAACAAAGCCAGGAAAATTCTCCAATGGATTAGATTTAGGGTCAAACTACAATACCCAGATACTTTTTTCGGTGATAAAGATTAATTATAAAAACAAAGTTTTATTGTAGTCAAATTTGTAGATTCAATATTTATTGTAGCCTCAGGGATATATGACATGAACAATTCAGCAACTCTAATCTAAAGAAATTAACTTACGATCGATTTGGGGCTTCAATTGTTAAAGAACTGAGATTTGACAGAGTTGAGCGAGAGACACTGGCCGCTGTGCGTGTTCGAGCGAAAGAGATCGAGAGAGTTGAGCGAGACAGAGTGACGAGTGAGAAACTGAGCTGAGATCTGGTCTGAGAGTTTAGTGACTGTGTGTGAGACTGTGAGGTCTGTGCGACTGTGCATGATGTGTGTTCCAGCGAGGCAGCGAGAGCCGAGAGGACTGAGACTCTGAGAGTGAGAGAGACGAGAGTGTGTGAGGTCTGTGCTGTGCAGACTGCGTGTTGCCGTTTTCCAGCGAGAGAGACTGAGAGTGAGAGAGAGTGAGAGACAGGCTTCCGACTTCCGGTTCCGTGAAGCCGAGAGAGACTGAGACGAGTGAGAGAGACAGAGTCGGTAATTGAGTTAATTGTGACATTCTGTTAGACTTAGGTTATTGTTAGTTGTTACACTCAAAAGTCAAAACGACATGTTTTTAAAATTCGATCGGATTCGGATATCCGAATTTTTAACATTCCCGATCCGTATCGATCCGAATATTCGGATTTTTTAAAATAACTATCCGTATCTGATCCGAATTTTCGGATATCCGTTTTTACGATCGAAGCGGATCATATCGGATATCGGATTTTTTTACACAGCCCTAGCTTTCATATTGTTTAGAATTCCTCTTTCCAACACCATGCAAAGTTTCAGCATAAATATGATTTGCCTCTCAAGCTGCCAAACAAGAAAATTCATTAGCATCATACTCCAAACTTAATCTGCAGAAAATATTATATACTTATAAACTACTCATATAACTTTATTTATTAATGAAAGTTAAAGCAAGGAATTGATAATTAAAGAAGATCCATTTGCATGATCAAGATTATAATATATTTGAGTCGGAGATTTTACTTTATTACCGATCTTCTGCTTCCTGAAACATATTTGGTGACACAAGACTCTGCCCATAATAAGCTACCCTAAGTCCATGCTCACGACCAAACAAAACATTAAGTTCTCTTGTTCTATCATCTAATGAAGCCATATTCTCCCCATCTATATCTAGTATCACTTCATCAACATCCTTTGCAATACTCAATGGTTTTATGTGTGGAGAATTATAAAATCCTAAAGCAAATGGCAACTTCGCATTCCATATTCCTTCATAATCCAAACCTCTATGCTATATTTTCCAAATCTATTTGCACATAACCATCCTCCAAAACATCCCAATGAGGTCCTCAAACTCTTAGAAGGAGAAAATGGAACCTCCTTGAATTTCTCCTGGACAAAATCAAAGTAAATTATTTTATCAACCTCATCTATACATGGCATTATCCAATTTGAAGCTCCATTCACAAGGGCAGCACCTGGTTCATTATTGGATAAGTGCGTATTTAAAAATCTAATATTTTCAAGTTTAGAAAGCTATCCAGATTTTTCAAGTTTTTTCCAGGAAGTTTTCCTGAGATTATAAACATAACCAAAGACTGAACAAGAATTTCTTCACCATATTACCACTACCGCTTTGTCATTATCAATTGATGAGTTGTAACCCAGCCCCGCAACATGGACAAATCTACAACATTGCATACAACAAGAGTAACTCAATTTTGGAATCATCTTTACTTCCCTTGTTTTGGATACCAAAGAGCAAATTTTGATGAATCCAATACACCTGTTACCGTATATGCAAACCTTGTCTTCATTAAGGTCACCGTCTAATATAATGAAGGAAGATCAAGTGTTATTGCTTCTACTTCGCTTACACCAAATGATCCTTTAGGGTCGACGTCAAGGCTATACAGTGAAACTTGGCGCTGGGGTAAGTTTCTTGATTCAGTGACTCCATATTTGCGATCCTTCTCAGACGTCGGTTTATTGAGATGTTTTTATAGCAAACTTGTGGGTTGAGATTATTGAAAGCCATGAGTTACTGACACACTTGAATCGCACTAGAGATTTTAATGGCAGTCTTAGAAAGATATCTTCAACAATATCACGAGGAAAGAACGACAATGGCGTTTCAGTTCTGCTTTTTGCTCATGGTGCGGTAGCTGGGAATTTAATTAGGGTTATTTGTTCAAATAATTACGAGGAAAGGTTATATAGGATATTGAGAAAGACGACGCTTACAAATTTACGGAATAATTCATACAGCCCCTTATGATTTCACCCTTTCTCTATTTGAATACCGTTGGTTTAAATTTTAAATAAAGAGCAAGGGTCAAATCAGAAAATCATTTTGGAGAGGGGCCGGAGGGCTAAACAAAATTTAAAAATATTCTTAAAAAACTTATTAATGTTGTTGATATGAAAATAATATCTAATCGATAAAGAAATAGAAAAAATATTTTAAAATAGAGAAAGAAGGGTGTGGAAAGAAGAAAATAGTATGTGTTAAATTTTTATAAGAAAAAGATTTAAAATATTCGAGCATTATAATTATGTATAATGATTAATACATATTTTTAATATAACTAAAACAATAAGATGCAGTATATTATGAGTTTATATAAATTAATAAAATTTAATTTAATTTTTTTTTTTTTTTTCAAAACATGTCGCTAGGGCTGGCTGCCCTGATTCGGCTTGATAAAGAGTGTTGTTATATATATAAACTAATTAACTCAACATTTATCTAGTTTCGAGATTTCTTTGGTCTAAGAAGCAAAGTTATATCTCGGGTTCCTGTAATTTGTGAAATTTTTTTATTGATTTTNTGTGTTAAATTTTTATAAGAAAAAGATTTAAAATATTCGAGCATTATAATTATGTATAATGATTAATACATATTTTTAATATAACTAAAACAATAAGATGCAGTATATTATGAGTTTATATAAATTAATAAAATTTAATTTAATTTTTTTTTTTTTTTTCAAAACATGTCGCTAGGGCTGGCTGCCCTGATTCGGCTTGATAAAGAGTGTTGTTATATATATAAACTAATTAACTCAACATTTATCTAGTTTCGAGATTTCTTTGGTCTAAGAAGCAAAGTTATATCTCGGGTTCCTGTAATTTGTGAAATTTTTTTATTGATTTTGTTTATCTGAAATAAGAAAAAAGAAACATAAAATATTGAGAATTTTTATCTTTTAAGGGAATTCTAGACAGACTCAAAAGTGTAGAGAAGATTAATAAGATTTCTTTTGAAATATTCTAATGACCTGTAGGGGTTACTTTTGAGAAACACACACACACACACACACACACATATATATATATATATTAATTTTCTTGATGACTGGGGGTGTTTGAGCCAGCTTACACGTACCTCAAATTAATCTCCTGAGCCTATGGAATTACTGGTCAGATAAGAGCTCTAGTGACTATCTCCATTAGTAACCGAGGAGAGACTCAAACTCATGATCTTTTAAGTGATGCATCCTAGTGCCCCTATCGAACCACTCGGCCACTTAAAGGTAATTGAGATACATATGATACATGAAAAAGCTGTGCATTATTTGTACATTTGATTTTTAAGCACAAGCTTATCTTATACATCTTGCATGTACATCCTAC